ACAAAGACTTATATTTTTTTCACATATAGAAATTTTTTGATATTTGCAACTATAGTAAAACAAAGACTTATATTTTTTTTTTAATTTTTTTATTGCTTAAATTATTACAAAGAGTATTACATATGTCTCCTTTTTTTTTCCCGCCCTTGACAATCCCCTGGCTTCCCCTACCCCCCAGTGTCTTATGTCCATTGGTTATGCTTATATGCATGCAACAAAGACTTACATTTTTTATATTTATTTTATATATTTAAATGCCATTTAACAAAGAAAAATCAACCAAAAAAAATGAGTTCACGTGTCACCTCTGACACGCGAGTCATAGGTTCGCCATCACTGTATTATACAGATGAGGAAATCCAGAATCAGGGAGCTAACAGAGCGATTTGAACCCAGATCTGTGACTCCAGATACAACTTTAGTTTATAGGCAGCAGAAACATGGGGAGCTGAAAAGGGGTCTGGGAGCTGGCCCTGGAGGAAGGAGGGTGAGGTAGAACAATGGTTTCTGCAGCTCTGCAGTAACCCGTAGTACGGGTCCTGATCATAGGAAGGGTCAAGTCAGTGAAATAAATGTGTCCTATGGTGAGCTCTGGGGTTTGTCAGAGCTGGACCCATCCTGGGCAGGAGAGTCTAGAGCCAAGAGAGGAAGAACTTAAACATGTCCATAGCTTTTAAAATCCCCTTCCCTTTTGGAATTCATTCTTTCCTGCTGGGAGCTCCACTCAGTTTATTCTGGGCATGGTGTGAGAAGATTTACATTTATTCTCTCTTTATTTTCCCATATATATATTTCAGTTAGTTTTATTAAAGTCTGGCCAGTGTGGCTCAGTGGTTGAGTGTCAGCCTATGAACCAGGAGGTCATGGTTCGATTCCCGGTCAGGGCACATGCCCAGGTGTGGGCTCCATCCCCAGTGTGAGGTGTGCATGAGGCAACCAATTGATGATCCTCTCTCATCATTGATGTTTCTATCTCTCCCTTGCCTTTCCTCTGAAATATATATATATATATATTACAAAAGAAGATAGTCTAGAAAACACATATAGAAAAAAAAATCAACCTCCCTAGGTCTACCTATTAAGTTTAATGAATGGGACAAATTAAAATATAATTGTTAATACTACAGTAAAATGGGAAAAGAATTCAGAAGTATGCACAAATGTTAACCATGCTAAGAAATCATCATTTAAAACACTGAAAACCCATATTCCCAGATGATTTAAACACAGCATCTCTTCTTATTGGTGGAAAACTAGAAGCCACTTAAAATTTAATAACAGAGAAATGGTCAAATAAATAAAGTATTCTTTATCTATGTGCCCAATGTTAAACTATGAAAAAGGCAGAATACATAATTTTAAGTTAACATAATACTTTTAAAAATGTTAGCTTTGAAAGGTAATGTGGCAGTATTTAATCATAATTTAAAAGATCCCTTAGCCCACTGCTTTCACTTCTAGATATCTATTCTATGAAGCATGTGCACAAAGATGTATGTACAATATATATGCTGCTTTTAGGAATATTTACTTTAATTTTTATTTGATTTTTAAATTTATCTATATTGTTGGAAGTATTATAAATGTTCCTTTTTTTCCCCCATTGACTCCTTCCACCTCACACCCACCCCTCCCAGGCCTTCACCACACTATTGTCTGTGTCCATGGGCTATGCATATATGCATATAAGTTCCTCAGTTAATCTCGTTCCATCCACCTTTCACCCCCTCCTTCCCTCTGAAATTCATCAGTCTGTTTCATGCTTCTATGTCTCTGGATCTATTTTTTTCATCAGTTTATTTTGTTCATTAGATTCCCCATATGAGTGAGATCATGTGATACTTGTCTTTCTCTGACTGGCCTATTTCTCTTAGCATATTACTCCCCAGGGCCCTCCATGCTGTCTCCTTTTTTTTTTTTACAGCTGCATAGTATTCCATGGTGTAAATGTACCATAGCTTTTTTTTATCACTCATCTACTGATTTGCCCACTTATTTCATCTTCACCAACAGTTATGTGATGTGGCCTACATTTAT